TCATCCAGCATCAGGTCTCAACACCCGTGGCTTTCACTTCAGTGAGATATATTTCAGTTGTTGACGTAGATGCAAAATCCCACAGGTCATTTTTACATACTTATTTCATCTGTTGTTGCTGCCACTGTGCTGGGAAACGGTGGTACTGTCACCGTGAATCTATAAATATCTCTTAGTGCTTGGAGCCCACTCTCAAGTTTTCCACGTTGAATATAATTCTTGATCTTTAAATTATCATCTTTTTAAATGTTACTTCTTTCCACTATAATTAATAACTTAAGCTTAATTATCCCTCATGACTTAGTGATGACAGGTTATGCATAAATCAAAACCGTATTTAGGTGAATTGTTTGTTAGCCATAATCACTCTAAAGCAATTGTTTATGTTTGCAAAAGAGTATTTTAACTTATTGTTATTTTTCATAGGCCTAATGAGGTAGGAAACATCACTCACGCTACTGACATTTAAGTCTTCTGCAGATATGTGGGCTGTTGAAGAATGGCTGGAAAGGAAACTGGAATCCATGAGCTGTGATTAGAAATCTTTCCTCTGGAATGTTCCTTTTAATGGAAATATCATAGATTCAATGTCTGTGTAAGACAGTGTAATTATATTAAAGGGATTTTGAGAAAATGTTTCCTTCTTCCACTGTCCACTTTTATCTGTAAAATGATAACAATTATAATAATGGTGATAGTATTAAAACTCACGAGCTATAATAATAAAATAAGGCGGTATGCACAAAATGCTCAGAGTGGATCTGACATTAAGCAGATGGACAATTCTTGTAAGCTGTTTGGTTTTTTTGTCTAAATGTTTCCAAGTATCTTCTGTCTTCAAGCCACCATATCTACTTCCATGTCTGCTTCCCATAAATCATCTTTTTGTGTAGTTAATGGAGAAGGAAGACTTTGTTTAGTGTAATTTCATCAGAGTATCCTCAGCTTGGCTTACCTTGTCCTGTCTGGCTTCACAGCATGGATAAAAGCTGCCAAAGCACTCTTTTTTCTTGTTTCCCTTGAATTACTGCAAGCTCATCACCCTGAAACCGATCTGCACATAGAGATGGCATGATAATATCTTTTATAGCATCATTCTGGCTGTGCACACTGCCTGCCCTTGTCTTTGCCACAGGATCACTGTATCAAAACTGCTGTTCATGACAAATTCAGGGAAAACCCTTCAGAACTGACTGTTCGCCATGGCTATCCAAGGAGAAAGAAATACACACAGAATTTAATGGATGTCCTACACATCCTGGTATTGTTTCCATATCTCAAACTCCTTATTAATTCTGCATCCCTCTTCAAAGTCCTGTACATTTCCTTCCATTTACATAAAGTAACCATTGTTTTCCTTTCTATAAAAATTTTGCCTGTATGCTAATTGATTTTTTTTTCCACCATAGAATCCATCTTGTCTACCTCCACCTTAATAACCATTGGGTATGGCTATCAGTGTGACTCTTATAACACAGCCTCTGAACATTCAATGTGGAGTTGCAATATCAAGGCAGTGTGTGGTGTGTGGTGTGGTGTGTGTGTGTGTGTGTGTGTGTGTGTGTATGTGAGAGAGAGAGAGAGAGAGAGAGAGAGAGAGAGAGAGAGTATTGTGTATGTATGGTGTAGGTGTAAAATGAGATTCACCAAGTCCTGCCATAGGTCTAATCTTCATTGGGTGCTCTCTCTCTCTCTCTCTCTCTCTCTCTCTCTCTCTCTCTGCCTGTCTGTCTTTGTGTGTGTGTGTGTGTGTGTGTGTGTGTGTGTGTGTGTGTCTGTCTGTCCGTCTGTGTGTGTGTGTGTGTGTGTGAGAGAGAGAGAGAGAGAGAGAGAGAGAGAGAGAGAGAGTATTGTGTATGTATGGTGTAGGAGTAAAATGAGATTCACCAAGTCCTGCAATAGGTCTAATCTTCATTGGGTGCTCTCTCTCTCTCTCTCTCTCTCTCTCTCTCTCTCTATCTCTGTCTTTGTGTGTGTGTGTGTCTGTCTGTCTGTCCGTCTGTGTGTGTGTGTGTGTGTGTGTATGTGTGCGTACGTGTCTCTCTCATCCCCCCCCTCTCCTTCTCTCTGTATCTCCATTTACCTTCCTCCCTCCTCCCACCCTGATTCATTAGGGTTGTTTACAGGGTCATGAGTGAAGGGGTTGTAGTAACTTACTAGTTTCTTTGATACCATGGAAGAAAATGTTTCTCTTCTCCCTGCAGCCATTGACTGCCTATACATCCCCAGGGAAGGGACAGGCCTTCCACAAGGATTATTAACTGCCCTCTTAATGTTATATAACAACATCACTCATTTCTTCTCATTATCCTTGATATTTGTTTAAAGACTTCTAAGGTAATATGTGAATATCATACATGCAACCCCACGCTCATGTGTAAATTCTAGGTAAATAATAATTTTCAAAATAAGCACAATGCAGCTGGAATTGATTGGGAGTGGGTAGAGAGACTTTATTCTAAAGACATAATTATTTACAAAGGCTGTCTACACCCAAGTGAAGATACTGTGATCTTGAAGCAGTGCTTTGTGACCATTTTCTTTATATATTGCTATTTCTACACCCCTTCACATGCTGCCTAGCGGGGAGACGATCATATCATTTGCTCTGTTCGATGGCAAAAGCATCTCCTGTTGGAACTTTGGCATTCCCTGGTAGGAAACATGTCTGGCTACTGAGAAAAATTTAACGAAGGGACATTTTCCATGGAATGGACCATGTTTTCATGAACTAAAAAAGATAGTAGTTTAGAGCTAGGCCAGTGACATTCAGGAGACTGAACATTGGTATTGGAGGATACAGTTAACAAAACCAAAAGGCAAAAGCCAGAGACAAATGCCAGTAAGAATCTATAGGAATGGTGGCTAGCAGGAGAATGGGGAGGGGTAACAGGAGGTTGACTCAGAAGGAGGTGTTGCATGGAATAATCATGATCTCTTTTCTCCTGTTCCCTTTTTACTTTCCCCATCTGTGACCATCTTTCACCAGACAAACTTCAGATGATCCAGTGTGCAAGGGGGCTAATGGCTAGTTCTCTCCCCATGCGTACAGCAGATTATACAGGGACATCATAGGGTCTGGAATGCACATGCCAATCCTATACATCTGCACTTCTGGCTCAAGACCAGGACATGTCCAAGTGCTATGCTCCTCTTTGCTTCTGAAGATCTCACAAAAGGTGGGAATGGATTTAAAAAGTAATCAGTTCTTTTCGAGACTAAAAGGAAAGGGTTGTCCTTGGGCAGGAGATCAAAACTCATTTGCAGAAAACAGATATGCCTTGGCAGAGGGTGGGGAAGCAAGAAACGGAGCCACAACGTAATTGTGCAATGGTGGAAAAACAAGAGGAAAGCCCACTGAGTTAGGAGGACTTCAAAGCAGTGGAGACTGGACAAACGAAAGAAAACAGTCGCTTAGAAACATCTAAGCAGTTATAAAACACTGAATTAGTGAAAGGGAGATTCCCATTAATCATCGCAGAAGGCCGTCATGCAACTTCAAAGGCAGTGAGTGCATCCAGGAGCATAAGATTTGGATATAGCCAAACTGAAATACGGAAACGGAGCGGTTGAAGGTGTTCCTTCTAAAGGGGGAAGCAGAGGTAGGAGAGCTGAGGGTCAGTTGCTCTCCTCTGAAAGTCTTCTTGTATTGATGGTTTTTTAAAAATCCATGTGCCCACCTAATTGCCACAAATGCTCTTCTCCTTCTTTTGTTTTGCACCATTTAGTTTACTGGCTTTCTAGAAATTAACTCACTAACGCGGCTAGGTCCATTACCTGCCCCATGTCCACCAGTTAATTCCCTTGTGCCCTGCACATCCCCCTCCTCCTTTCTTTGTGCCTCTGCTCTGCTTGCCCCCTCTCTGCTCCCATGAGCCCACACTTTCTCCTTGAATGCTCCGCGGCTTCCTCCATAAATTCCTCTCACCTCCCGTCTCAGTCTTGTCTCAAAACTTCTTCCCTTACCCAAAATGGTTTTGTCCTCTGCACTGCAATTTTGCTATGCAGCTTTCCAGGCTCAGAATAAAATAAAACCCGTGCTTTCCCTCAGCTACTTTGGATTCCTAAGTCAAAAACAAATGCAGGACTCTTTACTACTAGGATTTTATCTGTTCCCTTCACTTCCTGTTTCATTGTAAATCGCGTAACTCTGGGCTTTTAGTTGCAACCCTACTGCTGCTAATACATCCTGAATGTGGTCATTGAAATCATTTCTAAACAGTGTGGCGTAATTGGTAATTGTGGCTGATGCAGAAGGCATCGGATGATAGGGCATGCCTTTCTGTTGAGGTGCCTACTAGTATTTCTCAGCAAAACTTTGAAATAAGCAATATTCTGCTCCCTCTTAGTTGTACTGTCTTTCCCAAACACTGATTATAGAGACTAAGTATCAATCAATAATACGGACACTGTTAGTTTTAGTAGTAGAGCTTCTGCCTCTTAAAGCAGACTATAAGGGGAAACTTCAAACTGAAGGAGAAGATGCACAATGAAACTTCAGGCCCTTCAGCTGCTCTCTGAGCCAAAGGAGGGAATATGAGCCCTAGACCATGGTGTTTGCATGCCATTTGAAGTGTAGGGTAGCATTAACTTAAAATACATTTGGAGTTGGAAAGACAGCTCAATAACTAAGAGCACTTGCTGCTCTTGCAAGTATCATTACACACATGGCAGCTCACAGCTGTGTGTAACTCTAGATCCAGAGGTTGGATGCCCTTTTCTGCCCTTCCCAAGCTTCAGATACTCATTTGGTTTATAGATCTACATACTGTTTAACTTAAAATGCATCAAGACAGTAGAAAACAATGCTTGTGATCAAAATACCCAAATTTGAAGTAACATTTACAGCGCCTCGGTGTAGAGTTCGTCTCACACAGGAGGAAGATGGAACACCAGCTCCCAGCATCTGTTGCTCCTTTCTTTGCTTTGCCTTTACAAATAAGCTGAAGATAACTATTTTTTACCTGTCTTCCAGTTACTCTCTTTCTTATTTCCTTCAGGAAATACCACAATAAAACAGTCACGGTACAGGATTATCATCCAGGAAGCTGCCAATGGAGGTCAAGGGTGCCCAGATACCTTATTTGAAGAGAGAGAGTGTGAAGATATCTCATTGTGTCCTACATACAGGTAATTAGTTACATTTGAATTATCATTAGGCCTGAGCATAATTGTACAATATTTTCTTTTATGTATGCTTGCTTAGTGATTTTTTTTAAAATGTCACATTTTATACCTTCAAATATTCAGTAATTTTCTTCTCTTTACTAGAATGTATTCAGAAGGAGTAAAGAACATGAATACCTAATTAGCAGGAGAGTAGAACTAGAGCATGATTGGCTATATGTGAGTGTGAGCTACTGGAATGCTGCCTCTTCTGCAATCAGCTTTCTAGATAATGATCCAGAAAGAGACAGGGTGAGCTTTTTATCTGGAACACCACACACACACACACACACACACACACACACACACACACACACACACACACACACCATGCACATATTACAACATATTACATATACATGCATATAGATGCAAACACACATAGCCCTACACATACACACACACACAGATACAAACACATACAGACAGATACACACAATCATACACAAACATATATAAACACACACACATAGATACATGCAAACATACATCTGTAGGCACATACACACATGGAGACATTTAGAAACACACATACATACACACAAACACATATAAACACTTATATGTAAACACATACACATATACGAGACTTATAAACACATATGCTGCAAACATACACATAAACATATACACAAAAAACACATAAACACAGATAGACATACAGACACACAGACACAATTACAAGCAGAAAAAGACACACATACAAAATACACACTGACACATATATGTGTATAGAGAAATACACAAAACTGCATATACACTCACATGTATACCCAGACAAACATAGCCATACACACAGAAACACCCACAAACATCTTGTAAACACATACATATTCACACATATATGCACACAAATTTCTAAACAGACAGATAAACACACAAACACACAGATATACTACCACACTATGAGGTACCATAATATTCTTGTTGTTCTCATCTTAGAACTTTCAACAAGCCATTGAAAAAGTAAACTAGGTAGCATGTATCCATAATCTGGCTCTAGGAGGCTTACACAGAAGATCATAAATTGGAGACCATCCTGGGAGGTGTGTGTGTGTGTGTGTGTGTGTGTGTGTGTGTGTGTGTGTGTGTGTGATCTTCATATATATTCATTCCCATCTCAGACAATAAATCAGATGAAGTTTATTGACCAACACCTAGATGATATGTTTTTAATGTAATTCTTATTTGTTTTTGGTAAATTTCATCCACACATACAATGTATCTTTGATACCTGTTCCCAACCACACGCCTTTTAATAAAAGAAAAAGGATAGCTCTTAAATGTTTTATGTTCCCTCTACCTTCCCTTTTAGAAATTGATAGCTACTGTTTATGAAACCATATCCAAGTTCTTTTCAAGTCTTAACCTCCCAGTCTTTTAGAATTTAAAGATTACAAATTCAATGATAACATCACTTTTAAATAATCTTAGATTAAAAGTAGTCACTGATTTATGAGAATAGCTCATGGTTTAAAAATCATATAGTTTTACCAACTCACTCAAAATGTATTTTACAAAATTATCTAATGTTTTATCCTGATAATTTTAGAAACTGTATCTTAAAGCCGTGAAGCTTAGGATCTAATTTATTCAGGAATAACACAGTTTCAGTGCTCTTCAGCAAGACTTAATTTTAGGTACAGGGTGAAAGTGCCATTGCCAAGTTCAATCCCACTGCCCTGCCATGCTTCACTCCATCAATCCAATTTGATGGACAGTTTGTGCAGATAAATACTGGAATCAGGCCCACGCTGCTCTTTGCTCCCATAACCATGGGGCCATCTTGGAATCACTGTTAGTAATCATCCTCGTGTGCTGTGGGCAAATATTGAAGCTTCTACCTCCAGAAAAATCGCTCCTGGGGAAAGTAGCCAAGTGAAGAACTTAGCCAAATCAAATATTATCAGACATTTTAATAAGCCCAGGTCCATTATAATCAGCAGAGATCTCAGAAACCATTGATAGGCCATTCAGTGCTCCACTGTCCTGACAGCACTTCAGTGTAACCCATGTTTGAATGGTTGTTTTTCATCTCCTGCCATTTTTCCAGAAATCAGTTATGCTGTATCCAGATCCCATTTCCTAATGTGCACTGCAAACTGTGTCCAAGTTAGCACAACTCTCTGACTCTTGTAAAAGATCTTATAATGTTGATCACTGTGGTTCAAGTGAGATTTTGCTTCCCCTACACTGGTATACTAGATGAAGTTATCCTTAAAAAGAACAAGTTTAGGTATTTTGTTTAATTGCTATCTCCTGGTTCATTATTTTAACTGCAGTAAGGCCACGTATCCACATTTCTCAAATAAGAACAGAGTTGAAATGCCCACCTGCGTTATCCTGCATCATCCACTACCTTAAATTAGACACTAAAGAAGAAAACAGCAGGAAGACATAATCTTCACACAGAATTGGCAGTGAGATGTAACCAAGAGCCAATGAGCAAGTAACCAGAATGGTCCAGCTTGAGGATCTCACTTACCCTCACTGAATTCTAGTTTGTCATCTCAAACCTCTGAAAACTCCTCCTATACCTTGTCTACACAGCAAGCTAAACCACAGTGAATACCCTGGTTTCATTTTGGTCAGAGAAGCTCCAGTAAACTTAGCTTAAGGAATCCACATGAATCACAGGTGACCAGGAGTCCATCATCACCTTAGTTCTTCTGGATGTGACTATGTGAAAGGAATCTATGTATAAACAAATTGAAATTATTACTGTAGAAGTTAATTGCTGATTTATTTGATCACACATGCTTTCTATTCACGTTTCCTTTATTTCCCCAACCAAACTCTTTAGCCATTCTCCTAAAGGAAGCCACTCGGAGGCAAACAGTGATATTTCTCTTGCCTGGTCATACTTTTGTAGGAGCTTGTGAGGTGAGGGCTGGTGGATAAGGCAGCTCTTGTCTTAACAGAGTTCTTGGCTCATATAAAATGGACCATAAAAGCACACTAACAAAAAGAACAAAAACCATAGTTAGACTTTGGTCTTGTTTCTGGAATATTGTGCAGAAATCATTTTCAGAACAGAAGCCATCCTCCCTGTGTCAAAAATAGACACTTTTACTAACTTGAGGAAGGTAAGCAGAGAGAAGCCAGGCGACTTCTTCGGGGACCAGTTCCTCAGAGAAAGGCAAGTCCTGATGCCTTATCAGATAACATCCATCCCTTTTCCCTAAGATGAACTTTTGGATTAGGTTGGTTCCCTAGAGCCACCTTTTACATTTTGTCCCATACTGATGGAAATGGTAGAGTGACATCTGAATCCTAGAAGTGCCGTATTTAAAAAGAGAGTAGAAAGACAAAAGAATGAATGGAAGCTTATACCCCAAGCTTCCAGATGTTCAGACTTTGAATCTTCTTGTCTTGGTAGAGACAAGGATTATTCCCCTTTCTACTTCACATTTAATTTTTAAAATGGTGGTAAGTAAACAGGTTAGTCTGTGTGTTTTAAGCTTCTCCTTTATGTTTTTTTTTTTTGTATGAACTAAGATTCACATGTGAAATGTCCAAATTCTCTAAATTGGAATCACAGCTTAATCATGAAACTGGATGGAGCATGAAGTCAACAGTCAACTCTTACTATCCTCAACACTTGCTAGGGTTGGCTTTTATTTTATTTCTTTATTGTAACATACTGTGTATGTATGTGTGTGTGTGTATGTATGTGTGTGTGTATGTTTATGAATAGAATATAAAGGTATATGTAATGTTTTTAATATGTATATATGTTTAAGGTTGACAACTTAGGATTTGACAGCCCTGTTATGAGAATCAAAAATGATTATCTTTCAACATTAATTACCTGCCTGTAATTCTTCATATAGGATTGGGGCCCTGTGAGATGTCTTATATTTATATGGGCATGCCAAGTTATGTTGTCATTATGAAGGTCTTATTGAGGCTGGCAGCTTCTTGAGATTTCATGGTTGCAGCTCCCTGTCATATATAGAAGTCATTATCTCAGTGCAGATGCCCTGGTCCTCTGGCTCTTAAAATCCTTGGTCTCCTCATTCATGATGTTTCCTGAGCCTTAGGAGTAGAGGCTGCATTGTAGATGTATCTGTTAGTGTTGGGAACTCCATGGTGTGTTGTTTGTTTGTTTGTTTGTTTTTTGTGGTTACTTTTTTTGGGTATTTTGAACAGTTGTAGAGTGTTTCAATAGCCTAATAGTCTCAATTTGCTGCAGAAAGACATTCCTTTACTGTAGGGTGAGAGCTACATTTACCCAGGGTATAAAGATAAGAGTTTAACGTGCAGCTAGAGATTACACTAGTTTAAGGAAGTAGGGATAGTGGGTTCTGCTTTGGGGTCCATGACCTCACCAGACACAGATACTTGGCAAGGTTTACAGTGCTGGGCACAACTTGTTTCAAATTCAAGCTAATTGGACCCAGGTTTTTCTATGTCTGCATCTCTAAGTCAAGCATTCCAAGTATTCCCTCTGCATATCAGTTGTGGTAAACATTCTGTTGTGTTCTTCCTTGTGGTCACAGGTGGAAACTACAGAAATGGAGCCCCTGTATCTTGGTTCCAGAGTCTGTCAGGCAGGGGAGGTCAGGCGCCAGCGAGGCATGTGGGAAGGGGCTGCAGACAAGAGGTAAGCCGAGTTTTAAATCGCTTCCTGTTCGTGTGTGGTTTAAAGTAGTGTTATTCTGTACTTGGCTCCTAGTCCATCCCCCCGCACTCCGCATGGACAGTGATGCCCTCTAGGAGGGCTCACCGAAATCTGTCAAGTCATTTGGAGTAGGGTCTAGGTCCTCCCTCCTTTGGCTGCTTATTCTTATATTGGGCAAGTTGTGATATTTCTGGATTAAGCTATTGGTATTTACCACTAAATTTACTCTTGGCATTAGTTAAGTGTTGTTAGTTAAATATTATTATTTAGCCATAACCTTTCACTGCACCTCAGTGATAAAGCAAAATAATAAATAAATATGTCTCAGTCATGACTCCCCTCCATGTCCATATTGTGAATGTACGCTGGATATCAGCCAAGATGTTGAGACGATGCCAAAATCAGATCTGAAAGTACACATTACACTTTGTTTATATTGCGGGTTTACGAGATGATTAAACATATGAATGGAAACATAACTGGGTGAATTGACTACGCCTATTGATCCTGGTGTGGCATGAGTGTGTGTGTGTGTGTGTGTGTGTGTGTGTGTGTGTGTATGTATGTTTACTATGTGTTTAACATGCACAGGAACTCTAAAAGGTGTAGTAAGAGGCTTCTGTGTCTGCATTAGTGGTGTTTGACTATGATCCTCTGTGAAAAGCAGCCAGTGACTCACACTGCTTCCTTTTCTGCCTCATTGCAAATATAGTTGCTAAGTGGATGAGAAATGATAGCAAGAACTTTATTCTGAAGATGCAAGAACTTGGTCACTCCCGTTCTCCCTGCTTGTGTTGGAGCTTGTTGGTTTATTATCCAGTCACGGGACAAGAGAGGTTGTGGTGTTGGGAAACACTCAAAGGGTAAAGGACAAGAGGGACTGGACTGAAATCCAGAGGTCCCGTGGAGCATCTGACAGGGAGTTACAGCACACAGTTCTCTTCCTTCATCTGCTTCAGCATCCTAGCCAGGCAGCATCAGTACAAACACTCCCTACTTCCTGTGCACAACCATATTTAGACAGGATTGGGTTTCTTTCTCTGACCTACAGATAATGACATTTAGGAATTAATATTGTTAGATATTGCACATTGGATATTCTTGACTGCCCAGCAGACAACCTTAAAACCCCTCTTAGATATTAGTGTTACAAAATTATTTTTTTAAAGAAAAAGAGTCACTGGGTTTTGGAAAAGACCTCCAGTATGAAAAAAAAAAAAAAAAAAGGAAATCAGAAAGCAATGTCTAGGAACGAATAAAACAGAAAACCAATACAGGAAGTTGAACACCAAAGTTCTAAGAGTTCAAGAAAGATAAAACCAATGTATGAAAAACTATCAGATGGGTAACCCAAGAAAATTGCCATTCTGGGAAACTGTGCATCTCTTGGTCAAACAATATCAATGATTGAAAAAGACTTACATCAGACCTGTCATTGTAAAATTCGAAGACGTAAGGGAACAATCTGTTCTCCAGCCTTGCAAAGTAAGTTATAAGCCTATCTCCCAAACACAGCAACTCTCAGCATCAGCTTTGGAAAGTGAAAAGGAGCAAAGCAATCCCTAAGGGCTGACGGGCAGGGTCTTAGTGTATATCATACACCCAAGGATTAGAGTAAGATGGAAATATCTGTGGAAAACAACATCCCCTAACATTTACCTAAACACATTCCATCTCCAGAGGCATCTGGAAGATGTGTTACACAAAACATAAAAATTGGGAATTCCTGGAAGAGAAGCCATTTTCTCTGTAAGAGAGAGGGGGTGGGGGAAATCTGAGACCAAAGGAGTCTGCACACGTGGCAATGTGCTATACGGAGAAACATTAACCTACTAGATCTACTACCACTAACTATAATAATTTCACTCTGAAGTTCCTAGTTCGCCGCTGCAAGGAGTCTTATCTGTGAGACTTCTCTGAGGGTTACAGTGGCACTGGACTTGCTTGCAAAGGGTTTGTCTGTGTGTGTGTGTGTGTTGAATCCATTGTTATGGAGACTCCTTATGTGGAAAGTCTTCATCTTCTCTCTCTCTCGGTCCTCTGTAGCTCAGAGCAGATGAGCTTAGATCATACAGGAAACCCTGAGTCCTGCTTCCCTATTGCAATTCAATACTGTTGAGGAATGCAGGCAGCCTTGCTGAAAATTTCTGGCTGGTGCGTTTGTTTCTAGACAATTCGCCGGCAAACACTGGGACCAGCTTTGCAGTCATTACTTCTGGAATGAAACTTTTGAGAGTGTCTAGAGCAGCAGTTCTCAACCTGTGGGTCACGACCCCTCTGGAGGTTAAATGACCCTTTCACAGAAATTGAAATTCAGATATCCTGCCTATTGGATATTTGCATTACAATTCATAACAGTAGCAAAATTGCAGTTAATGAAGTGTCATCGAAATAATGTGAAGGTTGAGACTCATCACCACACGAGGAACTACCCAGTTAATTGTGCTTAATTTGAATAAAAGAAAAAGAGTATGGGCTCATCCTTTGAGATAATTGATGATAATATAGAGGAAAAATATGCATTCTCTTATTTAAAAAATAACTATGCTTAAAGTAATACATAGAGAAAAACTAAGGAGAAAAAGTAAGGACTCTGGAATTCATAAAAGAGTGTAATTATTTGTGGGGTAATTTTAATTTTATTACCCATAGTGACTTCTTTAAAAGTGGCTCAGGAGACCCCCAGATGGTTTCCTTTTGGACAGCATCTCGTTCATCAGGTCTCAAATGGCCCCTGTTATCAGAAAGACAACACGGTGCCACTGTGAGACAGAGGATAGTATCCTTATGTCTCAGCTGCTCTTAGCATCCCGAAGTGCCTGGATTCACTGAATAATGTTTATGTGAAATGAACATGGCAGGCCTCTAATCCTCATTAAATCTTTTTGTTCTTTCTTAATCAGTTTTCATCACAGTGAGAGACATAGATGTCACACAGGGTCGTTTAAGGGAATCTGTATGCTTTGCCTTTAAAGAATCTCCCAAAAATTAAAGTGTTTTTGTACTTTTGAAAATGCATGAAATAATGTCATTTACTTTCAAAGAAACAGGTAGAAAAAATTTAAGTAAAACTGTGCTCTAAAATTTTCATTGTATAGTAGTAACAATACTTGGTTTCCAAGGATGGAAATATATGTGCTGCAGGTGTCCATCTGTATGTCTGTTATTTTGGTAAGTTGTGCTTGATGTCATAATTTTTCATAATCTAATTTATTTATTAGATTATTTCATAATCTAATTTATGCCTGTAAAATTTGATTTATCCAGTTCCCAAGCTTAAACAAATTATATGCTGTAAAGTGTACATTCATAAAGCGCACAAACCAATCAATAACTTATATAAGCTGGATTCACAACAAACTACTCATATTGCAAATCTGAGTACTTTAATTCTCTGAGAATAATTTTTGTCTTGAGTGCCATTGCCTTCATAGAAAGAAGGGGAGATATAAAGATCACCACCCACCATTATCTTATCAACCACCCTGTTCCAGAAAACGCAAAAAATGTTGTACAAATACCAGCCTGAAATAAGACATCATAGCTTGCCAACCAGATGTCAAAGCTAAACTTTCAGATCTGAGTGTTAGATTTCTGGCACTGTGACAAGATACCTTTGGGGGGGGGGGGAGGTAGAGGGGGAGTCAACTTAGAGGGAAGAGGTACCTTGGCTATATTTTTGGGGATTCCAGTCCATGGTTAGGTGACCCACTGCTTTTGGAAGTGAGGTGAGGCCGAATGTCACAGCAGGCCTTCGTGTCTGAGAAGCTTGCTCACTTTGTGACAATGAAAAATAAGAGACACCCAGGAAAGAGTTAGGCTCCTGGGAGCATCTCCTTCTAGAGTACAGCCTCAGTGATCTGCCTTCCTCCTCCTACTCCTGGTGAAGAAGCTCTCACCCCTCCACCTCCCAACTCTCCTCCACCCATCCAACTCCCAATCCCCCATTCCTCCTCCACTTAGCCCGCTACCCACTACCCACTACCCACCCCTGCTGGTGTCAATGGCGGAAGTTTCAGGGAACGCTCAAGATCCAGAGCGCAGCTATCAGCCACTCTTGCTCCCTTCTCCCTGGCAGGTATATTTCTTCGGGGAGACAAGGAGCAGACTTCTAAATCTTTGCATTCTCATCTCCCAAATGGAAGCCTACTTCCATGACACAGGTTGATTCTGTCATGTTCACCTACATAGACCACAATCACAAGGTTGTTTCTGCAGATTCGCTATGGGAAGCTTGTATCTAGGCGTCGGTTATAACGATCAAGAGCTGTAGTCAGAGACATAGGCATTTGGCCTTTGTTCTTTCACTTGGTTTGTGTCCGTTGCTGACGGAGGAAGGAATGTGTTTTCTGGGAAGAAAAGTAGAGTAGAGTGTACTTTCAGACTTAAACAGAAATGAGCTTCATTATCTCCGGCTGTGGGCGTGGCCATTCAGGAATGGAGAATCAACTACGCCAAGAAACCCTTTCAGCGATATGACCTTTGTAAGGGGCAGACACATCTATGCATTTTCTGTGGATTTATGGGAGGGTGCAGTGACCTTGCACAGCTTTTAATGCTGGAAACCTGAGTGGGGGAATGAGAGACTGAAGAAAGGGCAAACATACAAACAGTACAGAAAACCTGAGCCTTCTGCTCTGATGGAGAATGACCTGCAGTAGCCTGGAAACTGAGAGCATTTGTTTTATGTGTCTGACTAGAGGAGACTGGTTCATTGTAGACAGCCAAAGGAGGAGGAGGATTAGCTAATCTACGTGGGGGAGGGTCTCTGTAGGGAAGCAGACTCAGGCTGCTAATATACAGGAGGGTGCTATAGTCTTTAATTTCTACACACAGTGAAGCTTTGCCTTTCCCATGTGTCTGAGGCATTGTGGTTCTTGACATGGTCATGCTTATGCCCACAACACATTCACTCGGGGCATCATTTATTCTTTACACATTAACTCAAGTCCTTGTAAAAGGGAGGACATGACTCCACTTACCACATCAGTACACTTAGGTATCTGATAACTTTGGTGAAGTTGATTAGAATAACTGTGTTAATCCCATGGGAAAATGTGATTGGGCTTTCTGTATTTGTTTTATTAAAGAACACTCCTAAAGCAGACAGGACCATAATGTCACCTCAGGAGGATGAGGCAGAAGGAGCACAAGTTCAAAGTCACCCTTCTCTACATAGTAAAGTACCTATTTAATGGAAACAAAGTACCAATAACATAAAGACAACAGGGCCAGAATGTACTATCGGAGCACATAACTCTCTTTATCAATTCAATCAATTCCTTAGTTTCAAGTTCCGAAAGATTATTCACACGTATAAGAGTCATTTTAAAACGTATTCATTGTTAGTTTACGTGCATGAGTGTTTTGCCTGTATGTGTATGTCTTTGCACTGTCTGCGTGTCTGGTGCCAAGGAGGCCAGAGAGGGAGTTGAATCTCCTAGACCTGGAGTTACAGAGCACCCATAAGCCACCATGTGGGTTCTGGAAACCAAGCCTGGGCACTCAGTAAGAGCACCAAGTGCTCTTAACCACGGAGTCATCTCTCCAGCCCTAAAGAATCATTCTTTGAAAAAAAAAAATCTCTCCCTTAAATATACTTGCTGAACATGTGAAAATAAGCATGACCAGGCTAGGCTGTGGAAATTAAATTGACAGTGTAGGACCACTCTCAAAATTAAACTATCCTGTGAGCAGAACAACAGGACTGGCTTGCTAACACCAGAGGCATTGGCTTTGAGAGCAGGGTGCTCAGTTCACAGCAGAGATTGCATTTTAATAGAAGTGAGCCACAGCTCTTGCAGGCATTTTTCACTTTCTTTATGTGTTTCAGGGTAGGATTATCTCTGTGGCTTTTGTGGGTGCTTCAGGTAAAATATGCATATTTTAAAACTCGGCGATAAATTAAATATAAATATTAAAGGAGATGGGCAACCGGAGGCAAAAATGCTTTAGTTACACGGTGTTAACTAACTGTTGCTTCAGTATCAACCCCTTTCACTAGCCTCTCTGCTTTTAATATAATAAGCTATGAGTCCAAGGACACACTGGCCCCTCCCCCAAGTCCACCTCACTCATATGCTCAGAATATATTTTACTAATGAAATGGATGCTGCTGTAGAGAATGGGGGGGGGGGGGAAACACTTCAATTGCAGAATGCATTCATTTGCAAAGCTCTGAATGAGAAGTTTCTCTCCTTATTCTCAGTTACGGAACTATGTTCCCTTCAGGAAGGCTGATATGAATTTCAAAGTCTGCAGGAAACTGTGTACATGTAATAGGATTACATGTCTTTAGTGCAGAGCCAAATCCCATGTCTTTAAGTAGAAGTGCATCTCCTGACTTCCCTTAGCACTGCTGTAACTAAGGTCTAAGCATTTGTTTCTGTTTATCCAGAGCTCCCTCTTGGGAGTGCAGCAGAAGGAGATAGATTTGTGCATACCTGTGTGCATTTCCAAATGAAAAGCAAACCCCGATGCTGCTTCCAGGTAGAAGCAACTGAGCAAGAAGCTCACACATGTGCCAGTGGCTGTAAAAATCTACTCTGGTGCATCAAGCCTAAACTCTACTGAAACTCTGAATTTAAACAGATTTGCAAGCTTCAGAACAGTATCTTTTGAGGCCAGCTGTGCTCCAAAGAAGTCACGTGGCAGGTCAAACAAACAAAAAAGTTTTAATCCAGGTGTATGGAAAGTGAGAATTAAAGGACTGCAGGAGTCATTAAAGTCAACGACCACTTCAAATCATCTGTTTTCTGGAAGCATCTGGAAAATAAGAAATGAAAGTAGGAAGGATAGTAGCCTTTGAGCTTAAGCCAGGGAGGAATTTGGAAGCCTGCATTACAACAGCAATACTGAGGATGGATTAGAAGGAGCACATATAGAAGGCATTTAAGAAGAAGAAATCAATGTCATCCAGTAGCTAATCTTACACACCAAGGAAAGCATCACAGTGCATTGAAAGTACTCAGTATAGACCAATGAGGATTGGACAATGCAGATGAAAAAAAAATAGTTGGGATAAATTATTGATTAGAAAACAAGTATATGACATATACACACAGAGAGAGGCTTCTTTTGGGTATTATTTTAGTTAATATTTTAGTAAGGGTTCTCTGGAGGAACAGAACAGGCCAAGGGAACCTAAGGTGATATGATCTTACTGATGACTCTCATCTAGGCTACTATGAGAACAGGCTGCCCACAATTGGGGTGGGTCTTCCCCTTCAATCAAGGCAATCAGCAAGTAGGAAGGATGAGGCTTTCTACTCAGGCGATTCCAAATGTGGCAAGTTAACATTCAGACCAACCTAATAGACATCAAGAGCCACCCTTTCTACACATGCATGTTTAGAACTGTGCTCTAAAGCTGTAGATTATACCATGTGCTTTGCTGGTGCAGGAGAAAAAGGTGTAGAGGGCAAGTATTGAAAGACTAGGGTCAAAAGAATAGTCCTTTTTCTTCAAATACAAAGCAGTATGTCTCAAAGGCTGGTTCTGCCTCTCAGTACTTGTGTGAGGTTGGTCCATCTGTGTTAGCTCTTTTCTCAAAGCACTAAGTTTCCTAGGTGGAATAATTTCATCGTGTTGATGCTTTTACACATGGTGATAGTACCTCTGGAAGCATTGATCTCCTTTCCCTTGCAAGCGTGGCATGATAGTCATAATTACACTGGACGGAGGGGCTATGGATATTACTAGTGTGGTTCTTAGAAGTAAACTTTTGGGGATCAGGGGAGGTCTGTGGAAAATGGTGGAGGCTGTGGGGCAAAGCATCTTCTGGTGGGAAATGTTTGACCAAGAGTTAGCATGTGAAAAGTTATTCAATTTGCTTCAGTGAAAAGACTTGGGTTTTTGTTTTGTTTTGTTTTTGCAATAATATTTTCCATACTCCCTTATCTACAGTCTAGTGTTTTTTTCATGAGATGGCAGCATAGTTTTCCGACTATTGAAAAATTCATGGAGGTAAAAAATTTAAAAAGCTGTGAGTGTGACATTATCAAACGTTTTATAAGACAGAAAATACATATATTTGTTAATTGAATAGATAAAATCAAATAGAGCAAGTTTTGTCTCGGTATCTTAACTGGAGATCGAAAAAATTCAGTTTTGAAAATAAGGGCCCGGAGGACATGGATATTGAATGGGTAATATTACAAACATTTGTCAGAGAACATTGAGAAAGGAGTACACTATAGCTCAGAGTTCAAAGACGAGGGATGTCTATCCTGCACAAATACAAACAACAACATCGAAAACAACCAGTGGAAGAAATATATGAAGCTGTTAGAAATAATTGAATGAGTGTATGAGTCTGTTTGGAGATGGCAAAAGGGATGTAACTGAATGAATAGGTGAGTTCATGAGTTAGAAAGAAGGCAGTCCTTCCCCCCCCCCGTTTGCTCCCTAATGGGGAAGCAGAATGGGGTGCAGGAACAGTGAGGGAGACAGCTGATGTCTCGTGGAATGGCTCTGTGCCTATACAGACCCCTCCCCAGTAGTTTCCTGAGACCTGACCTGGCATCTGGCAATATCTTCAGCTCATCCACAGGGCTTCTCTTCTCTGGTTGCTTGTCTTCTATAGTCAGACCCCCCTCCCCCCAGCTTCAGAGTCTGGTTCCCTACACTCAAACTTGCACGCCATCTTCATGATCTCTTTTTTTCTGAATATGATATTCACCCAGTTGACCCACAATGTCCCACGATAATCCCAACAGAAATCTTTCTCTCTAACTCCAGGATTTTTCAGTTTTTCACCTAAGCATCATCCACTCACAAACATACCGTTATGTAAAAATTCATTGATTCTAAGAGGAACTGATTTCCTAATTCCAGACACCAGCGCTTTCTTCTTAGCTCCTCCATCTCATGAGCTGCAACCGCCCACTGACAGAACATCAGCACGGTGATCCTGGCAGGTCCATCTTCTGGAAGCCTCCGTGATCTCTTCATTTTCTTAGACCACTTGTCTCTCCCTGTGTCTAAGTGTATGTTTTAGCAATCCCTCTAAGTGTGAAGCTTTAGTCACCTGCAGAGGTAGCTCGACTGATGGCCTCCTTTGCCTGCTTGTTTTCCATGCCTGTTCTTTCTCATCCATTCCGTGGTTGTAAGGGTGAACCATCTTCCCATTCTAGGTGTTATTTTACTTCTGCTGCTAGCCCTCAGAGAACCCCAGGCTAGCCAGAGATGAGGTGCTGCCCAAACTCCAGAGTCATTCATCGCTCTGGGCATCACTTTTATCTCCCTCCACTTGTCCC